GGAAAGGGTGTGGGTATGAATGTGGGTGTGGATTAGAGTCCTGCAACACGACCGGACCCGCGGACGGGTGCGAGTTCAATATTGGCGGGTCGGGTCGGGTAGGATGCGGGTTTAATTTTGAAATATATCGGGTTACATTATATTATAATATACACTTCTGCCCTCTAGTTGTTACTATGAACTTATATTTTCTGGTATTTTTTTTGTATATATTAAATACTATAATAAAATGATTGATTGATTTGATGAATATAAACGGATGAAATTTCTCGGGTCGGTTTCGGGTTTAAATAAAAGTTTCGGGTCGGGTGCGGGTCCAAAAAGTTGAACCCGCACAGGACTCTAGTGTGGATGTGGATGTGGGTGTGAAAGTTCTGGTCAGCGGTACTCACACCCACATCCACACCCGTACCCATACCCATACCCATACCCATACCCACACCCGCACCCATACCCATATCCACACGCATAACCATACCCACATCCCACCCACACCCAGATCACTCTTGCGACAATCAGATTTTGTTTAAGAGTAAATATTCTAATTATACCTATTTAAATAAATATCACTGTGAAATAAATTTTTCTTTTTAGGACACTTCTAGAACTTCACTAGACTCTCGGTTAAGATAAGGATTAAATCAAATAAAAACTATAAAATTCGACAAAGTAATAAATGCTGTATCTAATTAGATAGAAATAAAAAAATTTTGAAGTTTTGTAGAAATATAACAAACTAGTAAAAATACCATCAAAATCCTCAATATTCCATTATTTGACTATTTCTTCAACATCCATCCATCTGGGGAATTTAGTTATTGTGTAATCTAGTTTAATCAATTTTATATTGACAGAATGAAAATATAACATATTTACTTACGTTGACGTAAATATTGAAGTTATTCATTAGTTATTCTCTTTTCCACTTCTGCGAACTCTAAATAAGCTGAATCTCTGTATGGTTGTTCTCAGAAAAGAAATATCGAACATAATGTAAATAAATTGTAAGTTCAGTCAACTCTGAATATAGTTCATATTTAATGTTTGTTATTATCATCGTTTTGATTCTCACATACCAAAGAAAATAAACCTTAGATTTCATTGCCTTTCGAATTATGATTAAAGCAATCATTGATTAGTTGGATAAAATGATTTAGTAATTTATTATTCTATAAATCGCTTTTTTTCTTTTTCCTTCTAAAATCATATCTATGATAAATCAGACAATTAATCTGTGTAAGGTTACTCATAGGCAAATAACAAAGAACGTTAATATAATGAAAAAAAAACCAACGGTGTCGTTTCATCAGCGATCTTTTTTTTGTCTATCGAAGCGTTTTTCTATTGAAACAAATCTCGAGAAAATCTTAAATAATTAAATTAATTAAAACTCAATGTTATTTTCAATGTGTGTTATAAATATTCTATTCAGTTATGGATTGCATCAAATAATGTTTTTCAGGTTAGAAATTGTACGATTATATTTTGTATATATCAAAGCAAATGATAGATAATTTAGTTGGTAATCGTTCTCGAAACTTGCTATTTTTTTTCAATTAATAGATATCAAAAATCTCTAATCGATATATGAACTAATGCACATCTTTTCCTCAAATATAAAGCAATTAAAGCTTTTTAAACATTTTCTAATGAAATATTGAAGTAACTAAAATTTTTGAATAGACTACTTCTCTATTGTTACTCACATCCTACAATTTCTACGTGAAAAAGTTAGAGGTTTATAGATCACATTAATCTTTAACGAATTTGATCGTTAACAGAAATACTTGTCCTGGTGTTTGTTTTATTTAATACTTAAAGTTAGAGTTTACTCATCGGTGTACTGATATTATTAATAATTGCCAAGGATAAAATATATAAAAGTGAAAGGCACGCGTAACTACTATTCATACTAATCTAAGAAAACACTAATAAAGTTTTTTGTTTTAAAGATGACTTACTTGCAGAGCATTCAGCAAGGAATTGCCAATCCCACCCAACATAAATCATGAGAAAAGCCAATAACGGTAGATTTATTAATGATATACACTCAGATATTGATATATTGCTTTCGATAAATAATTCTTAAATTAGTTTATATATATATATATATATTGTCTCTGTGCATTGCACGACATAAGTGGTCAAAAAGCAAAACATTTCGAGCTTTGTTACATGAATAAACCCACCAGACGAGCATAGACTTGCTATGTGTGAACAATTGAATAACCTCGATAATGAGAGATTCCCGAAATTTCGTCAATAAGACGTTTGCCAACTGGACATTCGTCAATGGCGAAAGTACAATGGACTTTTGCTAGTCTTGAGGAATGGGTATAAATCTGGGTACCATGTGAAGACCTAAGATGTTAGAGTATATCTCTTTGTCTTCAATTACGATTCATTCCAATATAACCGATTTATGATTTTAATAAGAAAAAGCGAGAATAATATGTACAACAAAACCATTAAGAAAAACTTAATTTAGATCTGATGATGGATCTTAGGGTGGGTTTGATATATTTGATGTAGAAAGGTTATTCTTTTCTTTCCTCATCTTCCACAAAAAACACGGAAGTTACAATCAAGTCGGCAAAATTATACAAGATAAACTGGTGAAAGTGCGGTGAACTCTTGCCAAGTGCCGAATGTCCACTGTACTTTCGTCAATCGGCGAACTTCAGTGGATGTATTGGCGAAAGACATATTGGCAAAATTCCGGTAAACCGATAATGAAGAAGAAGAACACCTATATGTATGTGAATAAAGGACATATGTTGAACAAATATATCTGATATTTTCTGTATAAGTGTGAGAGTCAGCAGGGATCTGTGCGTCGGTGTAAGTGTGAGAATGATGTTGGTGTATTTCCTATCGTCGGGCATTCACACCCAACTAAATGTTTGCAAACTCAATTCACAACAATTTCCTTGATGACAAAAAGAACATGGACAGATGAAATTATTGAAAATAGAGTATTGGAGTTATCAAGTCAAATTCGAGATCATAGGAAGTCCATCTATTAGAGGAGGTATTGTTAAGAAGAATAATGGATTTTTTTAAACAATGATCTTTTATCCTTTTCAAAAACAAGCATTGTGACGGAGTTCGAAGGCTCGCATAATCCACGGCAGAGACTCGAACGCTTCTGCCAATTCATAAATCACAAGTGTCTATGTTTCATTTTATCTCATCTAGTCTATTTTCTATTCGTGTCATAGATTCAGTTGTTCTGCGTCAGAAATAAAACGTAGTCAAGTTCATTCTCTTGTGTGAAATTTTAAAAAAAACTTTTTGTTTGTCACATATAATGAATCGTCTCCATTATTCAATTAATTTTTGATCATCTGAGGAAATAATGTTTTAGCATTGTTTCGATTGATATTAAGCCACAAATCTTTATACTTCTTAGTATTATAATTCTGGTAAAAAAAGGTATCGAGGCATTTCGTCATATAAAAAGACACTGGAAATGTGGCATAAGGAACATCGCTTCCAAATAAGATTTTGGAATGATCAGCAAATTCTAACAGTGCCTTCAGTTGAATAACGCTTGATGCCAGAGCTATGTCAAAATAGAAAGAGCGCAAATCGGACAAAATTTGTAGAGGTCCTCGTGAACAGCCCAAAGATTTAATAAATCCTGCACCTGCTATGCGTTGAGCCAGAAATGGAAGCGTACCACCGGCATGAGATAAGATAATGCTGACATTGGGAAATGCAGCACGTGTACCACTGAGAACAATGTCTGCAGCTGTTCGAGTAGTCTCATGAGGATAATCGACGATGGGATGTGGCATATGACGATTGACAATTGGTGTAGGTGCTTCACTTGGATGAATAAAAACAATGGCATTAAGATCATTTAATTTGGCCCAAATAGGTCGGAAAGATGAATGACCAAGATATTTACCGTGTCCATAGCTAGTAAATAATATAAATCCATTAGGTTTGAGAACTGAATGAACATAATCAATTTCGGCAATAGCACCATCAACATCGGTCAACGAAGGAAGTGTAGCAAAGAATCCAAACTGTTCAGGATTGTTCTTTACCAAATTGGCCGAATATTCATTGAGTTTTCTAGCGAAATCTCTACCTTTTTCAATATTTCCTTCATAAATCTTAGTACCAGGTGCTGTAACGGAAGTAATCGCCATTTCGACACCTAAAAGGGACATATTATCTTTGGCTAACTGTGGGGACCATTTTGGAATCGGCCAGCCTGCTGGATCTCCACCAGTTGCCTCTACAGCTTGAGCGTAAAACTCGGGAACGATATGATGGTGTGTATCAACACGACGAGGGTGTCGATTGATTAAGGCGCCAATGATATGGGCGCCTTGCGTACGGGCATGATCCATAATACTTTTGCTGTATCTTTCAGTTTGGTCTTGAAATAGAAAAGCCTCACTGAAAGGCGGTAATAGAAGTTAACCTTCTTTCTTACTTGTCATTGATTCGATTGAGTGTATAGAATGATCTGATTGCTCAATGGTATTTTGAAATAATTTCATATTATTTTCATCGGTATTAGATGATTGGGAGTCAGTTGAGGATCTGTTCGACTGAAAGTAGTGCTTCCATGTTGAAATCAAATAGGTCGAACGACGAAAACTTTGCATTATTACAAAAGATATGAAAGGGAAATTACTTAAAGTCTTCTCAAATATCTAAAAGGAAGAACATGATATTTTGTTGAGATTATAGATCTTAAAGTTTTGCTTTAATTATCGATCGTAGTTTTGGCGAGTTATTTATGTCCTACGTGCCACTTCAAGACTAGCTTGATCGATCTCATGATCTTCTCTCTATTTGTCTTCTCATAGTTCTTATGACCGTTGTGACTGTTCTTTTTCTCATACGTCTTTCTCATCAATACATCTACGATTCGTAGCGTAACTGAAATAAAGTCGTAATCAAACAGATTTTCTCTGTCCTTGATTACCTTAGATTCTACATTGGAGTTTAGATATGAGTAAATTCATCAGATTTATATCATTCTTCTGGAAGAAGAGTTTTTTTGTCGATTTTTTTTACTACAGTGGTTTGACCAATAGATAACAGAAAACAGTTCTGATCGAAAAACTTGCTCATTTTTTTTGCTTAAAATAATGGAGATTCGGTTCATCTTTTAGGTACATCTCGAGCAGTTCATCTATCGAATTACAGCCATGTGAGTCCATGTTTTGTCCATAAGTAGCGAGTCAGTAGATTAGCACAACCTCCAACAGATTCTTTTTTCGATTGAGATTTTGTCGAGATATGCAGTTTTTAGTTTGAAGATCTTTTTGCAATATTAAGAAAAAAAAAGCTAGTTTCATTACAATTTTTTGAAAGTATCATATGATAAAAAATATTAATATTCCGGTCAAATCTCGATGAAAGAAGTGTTATGTCAGAAGAGATATCTCCTGACATACGTAGATTCTCTCTATTCTTCTATAGTATCATCGTATCATGTTATTCGCATTGTTCCTTATCTTTCTATAGTACTTTATTCTGCATGTCAAGAGGAGATGAAGGATGAAAGAAGGGAAAGCGAGAAATACATATTTTGCAGCTTTTTTTGTTTAAAAAGAAGTTGCATTCGATATAATAAAAGAGGAAAAGGATCTAACAAAAAGAAATCTTTTTGACATGATGCTAGTCTGTTCGTTCGCTACTTATGAACAAAATATGGACTCAAAAAGCTGCAATTCCGTCGATGACACCTCGAGATGTACCTAAAAAAAGTGAGCCTAATCTCCATCATTTTAAGCAAAAAAAAACAAGTAAATTTTTCGATCAAAGCTGTTTTCTGCTATCTATTAGCTTAACTAACCGGAAAAAACACTAATTCCAAAAGCCGTCTTTTTTTTCCATGGATTTACTCTTATGCGTTGATGTTGTTATGCGCGCAATGCCTGTATGCTCTGAAGGCACATTGTTTTTTCTTCTCTTCATTCTCTTTTTTGCAGTGTCTCAACGTGTGTAAGAGCAGAATGGAAGGTCATAACATTGATAACGGTACGTACATTATTGCTTGACACATTCTCTTTTCTTTCTTATAAGCTCTACTTTCATATATTTGCACTGACTCCACACGAGACCAAATTTGATGAAAGAGAAAAACTACACAATGTTGTTATTATAATGAGATGCGCTGTAATCAATTCTACGAAATATCAGTAATTAAAGCTCATATCGAAGAGTGATATTTTCACAACAAGCTCTCAGAATCGGCCGATTTTTATATGGTGTCTACACTGAAAACTTTGAAGATGTTCCAATTATTCAGCATTTTCTAGAGATAACAAGATCGTTGAGTGAAATTAACTGTGTGAAAAATCTTCATAGAAATTAGGACTATCGTCAAGAGCACTTGACTTACTTATATAAGCATCGACATTAAGAAAAATTTCAACATACCAGTTCAAGATCACAGTCTGAAGTCTCTCATTTTTACATGTTTTAGCATGTCGACAGCCTTGTTTTCACTATGCGAATGAATTCAGTAGTCATTCGCACACGAGAGACAACTCTGTAAAAAAAAAGTTGACCGACTGAACCTTTTTTAGTTCTAACCGAAGACGCTGAACCGTTTAAAGTTCTAGATTTTCTGGCTAGAACTTTTTTAAGCTCTGAATTTTTCGGCTAGAACTATAAAAAAAGGTTCTGAAAAGGGTACCTAAATCTAGAACCTTAAAAGGTCCACTATGACACCTTTTTTGTGTAGAGAGTTGAATAACTCGAGCATAATGGCAGCTAGCAAGTTCCGAGTTTTTTCATTAGAAAGAGGAGATCCTAAGGTATCTATCCATGTAAAATTCAACAAGGCCTCTTGTTGATAAAGAGGTAAGTCTTGGTCATCGTCCAAGATACACTTATGCCTTTATGAAGATAGACTGAAATTTCGATTCATTATAAGCTCAGAAATCCTGTTTTTTTTCTGATATTATCTGACAGTGACGAAACGACAAAGTTGTTCCGGTCACTTTTTTTATCGACATTTAGACTATATATTTTCATAAAAGACCCGCAAATCAGCTTTTTAAATTTGCAATATCCATAGAAATCAGAGATGGGCAGTTCCACTCTCGAAGCAGAACTGGAGCGTAAAATATCAGACGGATACCGCGAGCTGTGTCCAGGGTCAACAATCGGACAAAATTCTGCATCTGATCATGTATGATCTTGTACGATTTCATATGATCATACAAGACTTAGTGTCAGATTTTTTTACCTGGGTAGCTTGATAAATAGCAGTTCTAGTTCTGCAGATCCTGAATTTCGATACATTCAAGAACTATGGATTCTAAAATATCTTTTTAATTTACGAAACTGGGGTTAGTCAAAGAAATTGCTAACTGAGAGAAAAAAAGACTAGTTTTGTATACCCCTGCGTCTGATACATACATATAAGAGAACGCTCGAACTATCAACGAATCAAAAACATTGATGTAGATTATTTCAAGGATTACTTTTAATTTTAGAAAAACAACTGTAACTTGTGGCGTAACCAAGCGAGAGGAGTTGAGTCCTCCTTCACCGATCGCAATCATTCGAGCTAAATTCTGCTACAAGCTCTTCTACCAATTAGATTTCCTTCACTGTGAAAATTCTGGCTACGCCATTAAATGTAACGTATTAACTCAAAAAGATGACGTTAGTTTTCGTCATTCATTATGACTTCTGTCGTTTATTTCCTATTGGTTCTTTGACTTTTCCTATTAGTAGAACAAAAAAAAAAAATCTAAAGCTTATAACTGAATAATACGTGAAAAATATGCGGAAGGAAGGAAAGAAAAATCTTTGCGAAATAAGAGATTTCTCAAGACTATTTTTTTTCGCCTATATCGATTTAGAAGATGAGCATTCATTGATCACATTATATTTCTTATATTAAAAAAAACAAAAAATCATTGCTCCATAAAATCCGGCTTTTTTTTTCTTTTTCTAAATATCGATAAACAAAAAACAAAAAAATATTGATCGTTAATCTCTTTATTTTTTATTATGTTAACATTTTAACTCATTTCTAATCTTTATTGTAAATAAATATATTAAGACTAATTTTAGATCAATGCTTGAACTTGCTCAAAGTTTAATATTAAATGAAGAAGCACTTAACAGTTTACCAGAAAATAAACGACCTGTATTTATTTATGAATGGCTTTGTTTTTTAAATAAAGTACTTGTTGCTGCTCAAAAAGTAAATTTCAATATTGATTTTTTATATTAAACAAAAAAAATTTTTTTTTCCACTACTTTTGAAGAATGATATTCGTGAATGTCAACCACGTATTGTTGAACAACTTATGCAACAAGTTCAATATGGACCTGGTCCACCAATACGAACATTAATTGGTCGAAATTTAGCAACATTATTTAGTGTTGGAGATCCATTTCCATTATTTAATACAGTTAATCGTTGTAATGATATATTAAAATCAAAAGATGAAACTGCTAAATTGTAAATATTTTGTTTGTTTTTTTTTTGTTTTGAAAAACGTAAATTTCATTTGAAATATTTATTAAAAAATAGAGCTACTGTTGTGGTTATTGGTGCACTTTATGAACGTCTTGGTCGATTAGTTGGTCGTTCATATGAAGAAACTGTACAATTATTACTTAAAACATTAAAAAATGGTGATTCTCAAATGCGTTTTGAAATTATGTTTACATTTGAACGTATTATTAATGGACTTGGTTCAGCTGGTAATAATGTTCATCGAGAAATATTTAAAGTTGCAAAAACTTATATATGTGATCGAGCAATGCCTGTTCGTTCAGCTGCTTCAATGGTATTAATAAAAAACAAAAAAACTTTTGTTGTTCATTGTTTGAATTTCCTGACAATTTGTTTTTTTTTTTAATGTTTAGTGTCTTATTGCATTAATTAATCAAAATAATTTTATGTATACAAATGAATTAGAAGGAAATGTAACATTAGCTTTTCGTGCACTTGATGGTTCAAATTATGAAGTTCGTTGTTCAATAGCAAAATATTTAGCAGCATTATTAGCAGCAACACAAGAAACAATTTTAAATCCAAATCAAAGTAAGTATAAGTAAAAAGAAGAAAAAAAAATGATTATTATTATTATTAGATACAATGAATAAATCGAATGTTAATGTAACAAATATTAAAAAAATTAAAGCAGAAGATTTATTGAATTATCTTGCTGGTGGATTTTTACGTGGTAATATTGGATTTTTAAAATCAAATACAACTGAACGTATTAAAGGACCAACAACAGTTCAACGTGAAATACGTATTGGTGTTACTCATGTAACAAAAACTTTTTTTTTTTTAATTTACAAAAAATTAGTTTTTTTTTTTTTTTTTGTTCATTTAGACATATGTCGAATTAGCTCTTGTACTTGGTACATCATGGATTGAACAAAATTTATCTTTATTTATAAATCATATACTTGAATTAGCTGGAAATCCTCGTTCATCAACATCACATGT